ACTCCACAGCTTTTATTTGATGACTTTTGTACCATTTCCGAGAGGATGCATGAGCTTTTTTGGAAGCAAATATTCATTAGTAACATAATTTAAGCTTAACTTTTAAATGTATAATAATTTGGGCACTGTTTTGTATTAGGTACGTAACAGCGCGGTAAGATGCCGCTTGAATTAGCGCCTGGCGACTTTATTCACTGGTGCATTACCTTATACCAACACTAAAAGAAACAGGTACTAACAAAAATAAGTAGGTAGTGAAGTTCATGTATCTATTTACTGTATAAACTGCTTTTGTTTGGATGCCATTGCCAGCAAACTAAACCAGAAACTGTCTACATTCACCATGGAAATATACCTACTACAATTCACCAAGGAAAGGCCAAAATAGTTCCATGTAGAAGCTCATAGCTCACACACATAGCACAAAGCTCGATTTGGTGTTTAATGCATGTGCTCGCCGGCAGAACTGCTTCCACTTTTTCGCCAGGTTTGCGTTCGTAGGAAACGAAAATAAAACTTATATAGCACGCTTTCCTTTTGTTTTCACTATTACACTTTGCCACTACACGCTTCATTTTGCTCTTTAATGTCTCAATAATTGTTTAAAACCACGCCGAAATATTAACGCACAAATATTAAAATTGCACTTTGGTTTTTTCGTATGCTCACATTCAACAATTGCACCAAGATGACGTCACGCACACAGCTCATTCTGTCAAAATCACAAAGAGCGGATTAGCGGTACCGCAATTGGCGCAATCTCTATTTCTCTCAATCGTGATTGTAATGTTTAAAATCTCTTAGTTTAGTTAATAGGAAAGAGAAAATAGTTAATTTCAGTAGAGAAACTGAGTCGAAGAGACACTCAGTTTTACTCTTCAATTTTTGAGTTTTAAAATTGCAATAAGCTGAAATACTTCTATAATATAAAAATTCGAGTATTTTACTCTTATTAATTCGTCTTGTTTTTATTTTTTCAGTCCTGGTTGACATTTTCATGGAAACACCCATATGTAAGTGTGTAAGTATTGCGGCTGTATTTTAATGCTCAAAAACATCTGCTCGAACAGATATCACTAGTGTGGTTTGTTCATATAAAAGTTGCAGCACTTAAGTAAATTAAGCCTTTAGAATATATTCCAGTACGAACAATGAAACCAATTTGTGTGTTAAAGTACATAAGACATACATATTATGATAATTGAATAAGTATTCTCAAACAATCGAATTTTTACACTTGAAAATTTTATGAGTAGGTAAGTACTTATGTATGTAAGTATGTATGTATGTGCATATTTTGTGTTCTACAACAACGTCTTGCTGAAAAAAAAACTGTTGAAAAGGCCAACAATTCTGGAATGTATTTAAAATGTTTCAATAATATGCCAATTAAAATCACAAGTACTTTTATTTATATTCAATACTAACTGATTACTTCGTGAGGTTTTAGAATTTATGAAACACCAACTAAATTAGCTTCTCCGTCTGCAAGAGCCACTACCTGATTTTTATGGTTTCACAGCCTAAAAATATGCAAAAATTCCAAACAATTTTATTCCATGCAAAACTCGCTTTAAATAAATAACATAAGCTTATTTATTAAAAAGGACACATTTTAACAGATACCAACTGGGGATTCGCTACGTTAAATTTTTATTTCAAAAATTTTCTAAACCGAAAACGTTGATGCCTAAGAGTATGCAATATGAAAAGTAAGTTATGCAATAGGAATCAGTCAATTCTGGCTGTGTGATATACAAGTAACTTGGTATTGCCTGTTTTTAGGCGTTCCTGCTTACCACTTAGATAATTTTAGAGCAGGCTGGCTTTTTTGATTCACATGAGAACCGAATCCGTTAATATAATAAGAAACATATTTCTGAAGGCTTTAATGAATAAAAATCGTGCAAAAATGAATTCGTTTTTATATTCTTCCAAAAAATTTGTTTTCTGGTAATAACTAATCTTGCTATTTTAATCTTCATCAAACACTCAATGACCACTCTCTTATTCACTACTACTCTTGTCACCTCCTTCTTCTTCTTGCTCTTCAAACAATTCGACCGCCAATTAAATGTCCAATAATAAATTTCCGTCACTACTTTGTCGAGCGCTGTGAATGAAATTCCGTACAAATGTTTGCTAATTTGCTTGTAATTGCTTTAGCAAAATATCGCCACAAACCATTTGTTACATATGTATGTACATATAACCGTTGTGTCAGTTAGACGGTGGTGTAGCAACAGCGACCACAAATGAATTTCCCTATCTCAAACCACAAATGATGGCGTCATTACAGGGCAAAGTCTTGTACGTACTTTTGTATGGGAGAGTGCTGATGTTTTGTGTAAGATATTTCTGTAAGTGTGTGTGTGTGTGTGTTTGTGATTGTATGTGATGTATCATCGTCATGTCAATGCCAGCAATTAATTGGCTAAATTTATAGGAAAATAGATATTGCGTCGAAACTACTATATTTATCGATCAATTGCTAACTAAAAGACTAAAAGGCCAAAAATGGCATTAGCGTTAGTAAATTTCGCGCTTGGTAAATTTCGTGTAACGTATTAATTCTAATGCATGTAAAATAATTATGTAAGCTTGCTGCTATATTCTAAAAAAAACATAAAAGCATACAAAATAGTGTCTTTAGCGTATATTCTTTTTTTTAATGCTAAAATTTGGAAGGACTAAAACAAAATATATTAACGCATTAAATTTAAACGCAGCAAACTTTTTATTGATGTAAAATGTTAACTGCCAGTTTCACCAAAAATTTAAGTGAAAAGGGCTTTTTGTCTTCCCTGAGTTTTTACAATAAATTAAAAACAAAAAACTCGTTTTATATTAAAAGAGTTTTCTTGAAAGAGGCTATAAATACGATAAGGGATTATTAAACTATTTCCAAATGATATAAAAAAAATTTTAGAGGTATTCCCTTAAACTGGCAAACCTCGAAACACTTTTACTGAACTGTCAAAATTTCAATAACCAATGTTGTCCCAAAGCCTTAAATCCATGACGATGAAAACTTGTCCAGCGGTGGAAGCTTTTTAAAGCCATGTTTAAATTATATATGCACATGCAGTGATTAAAAGCTCTCTTTGGTCGTCGCTGACGTCTGATGAGGAAATAGCAACTAACTTCTACCAGATGTTAGATGTTCAAGATCAATAAAATTTTCGAATATAAACATGTTTTTAAGGAATCATTTATTTGTGCAGTTATGCGGCGGAAGTTGCAGGTTCGAAATTTTAATTTTCAGTTTAAAACTTTTTCGTTTACGAATTTACCCAAACGAGCATATAATTTTAAAAGCTCTTCAGATTTCAAAACCGTTTAAAACACATTTAAATTAAAATAAAAGTTGCTTATTATTATTTTACAGATATTTTAAACTTTGTGAGCTTTAGCGTAACATGTTTAAGGCTCAGTTACTCTAGGCTTAACTTAATTTACGTAAGAAATCGTCAATAATTACTCAACACTTCAATTTGTCGCTTATAAGCCACATCGAAAAATTCCTGGACAAAAGTTTATTGCGTTGGCCAATATATTAGGTTGACTTACGTAAATTAAGTCTAGACTAACTGAGCCTTAAGTAAACGCATTTTAAAAGCTCAGATAAATCGAAAGCTTTTCTACAGATTTTTTTTTACTTTTTCGCCTTTCTTAAGCTCTTAAAGTTTCTTTTGCTTAAAAAAAGTTCCTTTAAGGTAAAAATTAATATTTTTTCGTGGTGTTTAGTACGCTTATCGGTATCCATACAATTTATAATGGCAGTAATATCCAAAAATAAATATCTTGAAGAAAGCACTTGAGCCTTATTTTCGAAGTTACTTTTCCATAAATAAGTAAATGGTAAAAATTAAAGTTTCATACTTCAATCGAAAGCTTTCTCAGAACAAGCTTTTTCTGGTTTTTGCGTATGAATATGATTTCAAAACTATTTTTAATATTTTAAAATTAAATGAAAGCATTTCGCGCCCAAGCAATCTTTTAATTTAAACGTTTCACAAATTTGAAGTTTGAGCTTTAAAGAGTACCTACACACATATGGACATTCCCATGGTAGCGCACGTGACAGTCGTACGATTTCAATGTGATACAAAAAACGAATACCATTTGTTTTCTTTAACTTTTTTGGGCGATTGTACAGCACATAATTACCTCTATATTTAACCGAAAAATGAAATCAATCGAACTGCTTGGTCCTGAAATATAAGCATTTAAAGAGAGTGTCGTTACGTGACAAAAAATGGAAGTTGATTTTTTCTTTTCTTACAAAATCGCAAAACTCTGCGAATTGTGGATGGCTATTTTGATGAAACTTATTTTGATATGATTTGGAGCAATTCTAGTTGTTTTTAGAGTTTTTTGAATTAATGCAAATTGTTTCAATTCTCTTTTACAACCCCAAGTGTGAAACGTGACGTGACGTGGCGTCACGTGACATAAATTTCCATCGTTATATTTTTGTTAATATTGCTTTTAAATGAATTTTTAACGCAAATAAAACATGTATTTTATGTAGAATATACTTTATATTTTGACTTCAGCGCCAATTCAGGGTCAATTTATTAGAAATCTATGATTTATTATGTTTCAACCACATACGCCAAATTCGAACCAAATCGGACCATAAATACGGTTTTTCGAAATATCTCGACCTTGGCACCACCTAGGAAGACCATTTTATGCAAACATGATTCTACTTACATAGCCAGTATATATTTTAAAAAGCAGACGAATCGGCCCGTAAATACGTTAGATATACAACTTTTATTTTTTTTTTGTCGTGGTGGACCTTCCGCTGGAAACACCCATATGTATTTACAAAACGAACAGCTACTTCGAATAGCAGACTCTAGTCACGTCATCTTCTTCTTCCTATTCCATTGAACATTAAAGTACCACTACTATTACTCTTTCATCAACTTTTGCAAGTACGTACTTCACTAAAATATTTCATATCAACTTTTTCTATTTTCTTTTTGCAGAACTTGAACCAGCATTTCCCTATCGTGACGTGACCATCAAACGTGGCGTCGATGCGAATGAATTATATGAAGTGCTCGGTGAAGTGGGCAGGTGAGTCGAGTGCAAACAATTACAAAATACGCTAGTTAAAAATAAAAATTACAAATTTTCATTGCACAAATTAACGAGAGCTTAAACTTTATTACGTGCCAAATAAACACGGTTTAAATTCTTTTCAAAATTTATTGCACGTTAAGGAGTAGTTCAGTGGCCAAAATGATGCTACTGAGACAGTTAAGAAATCGTTTTTAGTGTGTATTAAGAAAAATATTAAAATTTTACAATTATTTTTAAGCATTAAACTGCACATGAAGGTTATGAGTTTGCTATTTTAGATATTTATTATGCTTGGAGCGTAGCTCTTTCAATTGCCCGCTTTCTTCGACCATAACTAATTTAATTTTATATACACATTGCATAATCATTACCCTTAGAGGCAAATTCGGCACCGTCTACAAATGCCAGGAGAAGACATCTGGCCTGAAGTTGGCCGCTAAATTCGTGCCCATCCCCAAGCGTGAAGATCGTCGCAATGTTGAGCGAGAAGTGGAAATTATGAATTCCCTACAACATCACCTCATCATACAATTGTATGCGGCGTATGAGTATCAGAAAATGATGTGCGTCGTGCTGGAATTGTAAGTAGAAATTTTAAGATTTTTTTCATTATGGAATTATTGTATCGTAAGAAATATCGCGCCCTCTCTCACCGTTGCTCTCCGCTGTTCTTAAGTTAACCAATAAGCAGCGAAAGATTTCGTTTGCCGCATAGCACAGGCATGCAATTCTCAACCTGTTTATACAATTTTTAGTGAAAAGGCAATAGTTGCTTGGAGGATTTTTTTCATTAATAACAAAAAAACAACACCGATAGAATGAAGCCCTGTCCGTTTTTATTGGTCTCATTTGAAAAACGTCTTCTTGTCAAAAAAAGTTAATTTAAGTCCACATTTAGGTACCAGATGAAAACACTTTTAAAAACATGTGAACTCAATTAAAACTTTTTTTAATTCAGAAAATAAAATCCTATAAAATAAATGAACAAAAATTATATTTTCTTTTTAAGCCATAGGATCTAAAAAATTTAAGAAGGCTAAATTAAAAAATTAAGCAATTTAACAAAACCAGAGAAAAATAAAATAAATTCCTAAAAATTAAATGAAATGAAAAGAAAATATTTTTCTTTTAAAAATAATATATTCTGAAAATTAAATTCAAAAAGGAGAAAAATTATACTATTAAAATTAAATTAAAATCAGTTCCTAAAATTTTTATTAAACAAAAAAAGGAAATTAAAAAAAAATTATTAAATAAGGAAAAAATGTTTTCATAAGTTAAATAAATTAAAAAAAAATGATTTTCCTGTTTAAAACAATAAAATCTAAAATAAAAAAAATACAATTAAATAAGTTCCTAAAACTAAAATGAAATTTAAAGAAAAACTTATTTTTAAAACAATACAATCTAAAAATTTTAAGACAATTAAATTAAAAAAATATAATAATATTTAAAAAAATATATGTTCCCGAAAATTAAGTCAAATTAAAAAAAAAAACCTTTTTTTATTAAAAAAATACCATCTAAAAACTAAAAAAAAGAAACAAAATTTATTTAAAAAGGGGAAAATTCATTAAAATAAAATAAAATAAATCCACTGTCCGACTACTCGACCTCGACACTTCCGAATCGCCCACCAGTACTTTGCTCACTCGACCATTACGACTGTTGGAACAACGCGAGCAAAATGGCATATAAGTGCTGTCTGTCGAGAGAGCTTTTCACCGAGAAAGTTGGCAAGGGAGCTTTTTTCGTAATACTTTCATGCCAGAATAAACAAAGTCTTTCAAACCATCTTGTCAACTTTATTGCAATTGTCTTACAAACGACTTTTAATTATCTTAGCCAGAATTGCCCTGAAAATAGAAATCTTTAAAAGGAATTTTCCACATAAATATTCCAGTTAAAATTTCAAAAGTAGGTATCAAACAAAAGCTGTTTTTGAAAACCTTTAATGTGTGCATATTTTAAAATAGGGTTGCTAGCTTCGAAAAGTCTCAAAATTAAATTTATAAAAAAGAAAAAACAATTTTAAGAGAGCTCTGAATTCTGCTATCACTGAGGGTGAAAATCCTCTTATTGGTACAGATCCTAAAATATGCGTGGGTATCGATAACAGTATATCTCTAGTCATGGACGCCTGCTCATATGCCTTCGGCAGTGCTCAAGTCGTCTGTATACCACTGCAGGATACTAATCTGGATGCTGTGAAATTTCATCCCTCTCTGTAACACTATTTGCATATCAAAATTCTACATTAATCTACTACTCCTTAAAGAAAAATGTTTGCTGCTTCTTCCACTTTCAAAAATTTCTCTACGATCCATGCAATATTTTCTGCTAAAAATCGCTTTCACAAATTACTGCATAAGTTTTATGTCAATGTGTGCCAGTATAGTATATTTTCTAAAACTGATGAGTTCTAAAAAGTTCATTTTATATTCGCGTGTCATGCAGACATAATATCGAAGCACTCGTTTTTTTCTTATTCTTTTCCACCGTGTCTATTTTTCTTCACTTTTAGCTACTGCTGACAATTACAAGCAAAGTTTGCCGTACTATTTTTTAACCCTCTTGAATTGTAGAAATTCATAGCGAAATTCACTTTTCTATTACATTTTCGGTGATTTTTTGTTTTCTATTTTCATTCAATTTTTTTCTTTTCTGCAAAGTTTTTCCACTTTATCCTTTAAGCAAACTTTTTCTCTCGTTATTCAATTTCTATATTCTATCACATAAGCATGTTTTTATTGTCATTTCCGCAATGCATTCTCACACAGAAGTCTTCTTGAACTCTTTCTTCTATATTTGCTTTCAGCACCTGCTAAATTTTCGTATTATGTAAATATGCTTGTACTATTTATGTAAATAGAGGCATACATATGTACATAGAACACTTGAAAAGTTTAGTGCATATTTTTTTATTGTAAAACTCTTGCTTTTTAAACTCATGTTTCAAGTCTTTTCTGATTGTGCTGTGGTTGCAGTTGAATAAGTTTTTGAAGACATTCAATTCACAGGTGTGCTGTTTAGAAAAGTTTTCTGAATGACTCCTTAGACACCTGAACGTATGTATGTACATACATAAATGGGCAGCTAGGCACGTGAGTGCAAAGAAAACTTGAATATCTCGTTTCTGCTCATCCTCATATTCATTTTAATTTTTGCACATTCAGTTATTTGCTTCATATACGAACATACATGTACATACATATATGTAGACGATTTTTGTAGGTTTTGCAACTAAATTGTTTTTTTGTAATATTTTTTAAATTCAGTTCATGCAAACTATGTATGTATGTATATAATTATGAATATGAATATGAATATGAATATGAATATGAATATGAATATGAATATGAATATGAATATGAATATGAATATGAATATGAATATGAATATGAATATGAATATGAATATAAATATGAATATGAATATGAATATGAATATGAATATGAATATGAATATGAATATAAATATGAATATGAATATTAATATAAACATAAATATACATATAAACGGACGGATTAAATAAGAATGTTGTGAAGTAAAGTGTAAAGTAGTAAAGAATGTTACTAATATCCTCGCCCATGGCGTTTGAGCAACATTTTCCTTGTTAAAGCTTGATTTTTTTCATTCATAACGCAAACTTAAAATGAAAATATCTTGCGAAAATTACCTGAAGTAGAAAAGCTTTGGTTAGGCCACAGGAGGGTTCCGGACTATGGAATACTATGGTAGCTCCGTATTTTGCTAGCCAGTTTGCCTGTTCATTAGTACTGTATGCTTAGCTCCAAAAGCATTTAGGGCAACGAAGGAATCCTATACCAGCTTTGATATCTAATATGTGCAAATTCAGTGTAAGAAAGGCTGCTTGGGTGCCCAAAAAGAAACCATAACCCTAAAAGAGGAAGTGATAATAATAAATTCGTTAATACCGTCAAAGCGAGTAGCGTGAATAATTTTACCATCAGTTTTATTTGTTGTATTTGTACTTATTAAATAGTAACCAAAGTAAGATATAAGCTACACCTAACCCTTGAATAGTGGGGTTCGCTAGGGAGAAGTATCACTACTGACGGTTTTTACGGCCACTTTTTCCCGCCTCTCGGTCCCGATCAAGGCCGCTTTTTCGGCTGTCGTAAAATCTTCATTTTCCTTCTACGACTGGAAATATGTAGCTACATTGGAACTGCGGTGAACTTATTATGCTGCTTAAGAATACATTGGGCCTGACATTTTGTTGAGCTGCGGCTAGCATCTATTGCAGAGTATGGAAGTGCACGATGTTCCAGCTACGATATTGCCGTTTCTGCCTAAGACGACAGCTTTTACCTCTCTTATGTGTCCGTAGATGGCATCCAAAAAATCTTTAATTTGCTGCAAAAAATAACCATGTCAAAAATAACTCAATATTTGCAAGACCAAAGCTGCAAGTAGCTATTGTTTGTAGTTGAGTTCTAAAATATTACACCCACCTTCAAAAGAAGCAATCTCAACCTATCCAATACAGTGTTTGAATTTTTAAACATCTCGGTAAATCTGCTTAACTGACCGTTGCTTCATTAAAGTTTTATAGGGTCATGCAAATTTTAAATGTGTGACATCAAATTTTTAATAGCCTTTTCCATTTTTACAAAGTACCAAAGTTGCATAAGAGTGGCATCCACAAGCAATTTATGCGTACATTCATATGTATGTCTAAAAACATATTTATTAACCAAAAATTACCAAGTGCCTAGCAGCAGGCTACATAAACCTGTATGTGACGAAGGGTTCTAATTACTTTACTGCAATGCAGTTTTATGGACTAGACACTTCGTAAAACATATTTCACACTTCATACTTGATGTTAGTGTTTAATATTTGCTGCTGTTGATAAACCAGATTGAGATGTAGAAGCAGTGCCTCTTTTGTCGCCACTATTGTTGTTGCTGCTACTCAGAAGTTGCGTGCAATTTGCCTGCCTAACTACCTGTCAAGCTAGCTTGCCGTTTGTGGTTCATACTAATAATTTATGGTAACTTAAATTGATAACAAAATTCCGAAACACTCACCATATTGGAGACAACGAATGGCAACAACAATGACAGCAAGTTGTAAGTTGTGTCAAAATATGCGTAAACAAAGTTGCAATGAAACATATTTATGCATGCATACTACTGAATGGCATGTTCCAGCGCAAGAAGGTATATAGGTAAGGGGGTCGTTGAGATTTTGGTGCTAAAATTTCCGCCCACCTTAGTTTAAGCTTTGGAGTGTCAACATTTTTGTAAGTAAAATAAATTGTTTATTTTATTAAAGTGTTGAAAAGAAAATACAAAGTGAAGATAAGGAGATGTACTCGCATGTCTGGTGCTGCAGGAGAAACTAATTCGTGGCATTCGAAAAAGAAGTAAATATTTAGTCCAACCAAACAGACCTTGGGAGCACAGCTGTGGGCTAGTTAAGCAAGCAACAAGTAAAACATACCTTTGCAAGCATAGCATTCAAATTTAGATAGTTTGATGCTGCTTGAAGCGCCTAAATGTATGCACTCATCGCGTACTGAGTAAAACAGTTTCGTCAGCACAAATAAAGC